ACATGGTCTTTACACGCCATTACCTGTTCCTACTTCACCTTGGATTGATATTTCTATGGATTTTGTGTTAGGTTTGCCTAGAACAAGGTATGGTAAGGATAGTATATATGTTGTGGTAGATAGGTTCTCCAAAATGGCTCACATGTTGATGATCTTTTTATAAAAGAAGTTGTCAAACTGCATGGTATACTTAGAACTATTGTTAGTGATAGGGATGCTAAGTTTTTGAGCCACTTTTGGCGTGTATTTTGGGGGAAGTTAGGCACTAAATTGTTGTTTTCTACTTCTTGTCACTTACAAACTGATGGACAAACTGAAGTAGTTAATAGAACCTTAGGAAACATGTTGAGAACTGTTTTGAAAGGTAAATTAACTTCTTGGGAGGCTCACTTACCTATGATTGAATTTGCTTACAATAGAACAATCTATTCTTCTACAGGTATGTCTCCTTTTGAGGTTGTTTATAGTTTTAATCCCTTCAGTCCCCTTGATTTATTACCATTACCTACTAATGATATTGTTAATCTTGATGGTAGGACAAAGGCTGAGATGATGAAAAAAATTCATGAACAAACAAGGCTTGCAATTGAGAAGAAAAATAAGCAAACTTCCTTGAGAAAGAATAAGGGTCGAAAACAAGTTATTTTTAAACCTGGAGATTTAGTTTGGGTTCACTTTAGAAAGGAGAGATTTCCCTCCAAAAGGAAATCAAAGTTGCACCCTAGAGGAGATGGCCCATTTCAAGTCCTTGAAAGGATTAGAGACAATGCTTACAAGCTAGACCTACCTGGTGAGTTCCAAGTAAGTGCTACATTCAATGTTGCTGACTTGTCTTTGTTTGATGTAGGATCGAATTCGGGGACGAATTCTTTTCAAGAAGAGGGGAATGATAGCATCAAGGACAAGGATAGAGTTTTGGAAGCTCCAAGGCCATTTACAAGATCTCAAGCTAAAGAGTTGCACTCTAAGGTTGCTGGACTTCAATGGCAAATAAAGAAGCTTTTAATTGAAGAGGAAGAGCTCAAGCCCAAAATAGATGAATTATCCAAGTTTTATAATTATTTGGTGATCCAAATAGAAGTCCAAGAGGAGGAAGATTGGGCCACCAAATCAGCCATTGAAGTCCACCAAAGGGGCTCAAAATGAGCTTAAAAGAGGTCCAAAGGGGGTGTTTCAAAGGGAGCCCAATTGGAGTCCAAATCAATGGCCCAAACTAGTAGTTTTAAGGTCCAAATCTGCCCCAAAGGGATTTGGCCGCCCCCCACCTAATTGTAATGACTTTTCTTACTCCTTAGCAATCACCCTACCTAATTGTAATGACTTTTTATGCCTTAGCAACCACCCTACCTAATTTTAAGGACTTTTTGTGCCTTAGTACTCCTATAAATAAGGAGTTCTTCTCATTCATTGAGACACTTCATTATTGATTAAGTATATCATACTTTGAGAGTTCTTTTGAACCTTTGTTACTTGTGCTTTGAGATTTATCTTTCAACCTTTACTAGTTCATAGTTCAAGGTAGTAAGATTACTTCTCTATTGTGATATCTTTGATTTCTTTGTGGTATTCTTAGAAGGCGATTAATACTAGTTATTAATTGTTGTCTCAAGTTACTCGTAAAGCGATCAAGATCCGAATCTATTATTTTGATTTGCTTTTAAGTAAAGGCGTTTGATTTCTTCAATAAATCAAGACGTTGTTGCTTTGATCTTGTCAAGGCTATAGAACTTGCGTTCTTGGAAGTTCTTGGAATTCTTTCCTTGAATTTTCCCATATCCTTTATTTTCTGCCTTTTAGTTCTAGTTGTTCAATTCCTTATTGTTATTGCTTCCGCATTTACTTTTCAAATTCTTACTCTAGTTTGGATTCCCGACCTTGTCGTTATCATATATGATATGAAATAATGAATGCGACTGAGCACATAACTGCAATTAAGAAAATAACTCAACAGCAAAGAACGACCACTATGGGTCCCAATAGTACCAGCATAAAGCCTAAACATGATTTCTAGCATGAATTACAGCTTAAGTGCTCTTACACTTAGAGTACAGTAAAAAAATATTAAGATAAAATAGCTACACAGTTCCATGGAATCGGCTAAATCACAATTTACACGGTGCACGTCTGCATGCCCGTCACCTAGTATTCGCGTCACCTCAACATCAATCACATCGCACTTAATTTGGGGTTTCATACCCTCAACACCAAGCTTAGAAGTGTTACTTACCTCGAACAAGCCAAATCCAATACCGAGCAAGCCAAGCGATGCTCCAAAAATTCCATCTTGCGCGTACCAACCTCCGAACGACTCGAAACTAGCCAAAAGAAACTCAAATACATTAATTAATGCCAAAGGAAACAAACCCAATCGATAAAGGTCGAATCTTTAATCAAAAGTCCAAAATTGACCCAAAGGTCCAACCCGGGCCCACGCCTCGGAACTCAATAAAACTTATAAAATCCGACAACTCATTCAATTACGAGTCCAACCATACTAGCTTCACCCAAATCCGACTCCGAATCGATGTTCAAAATTCAAAAACTCACTCTATGAAACTTTAGGCTAAAACCCCCATTCTCTCTCTCCAAACTCTCGATCAAATGCCAAAAAAACGAAGATAGATTCATGATATAATATCTACAAAGTCAACTCTCGGTCACACTTATGAACTTTCCAATCCTTTGAATTTTCAATTTTCGCCAATTAGTGTCGAATCCTTCTAGAATTATCCAAATGCAAATACGGGCATACGTCCTAGTCCAAAATCACCATCCGGACCTAACAGAACCATCAAAACTTCGTTCTGGGGTTAGATTCACAAATGTCAAACTTAATCACCTCTTCCAACTTAAAGCTTCAACAATGAAATTCATTCTTCCAAATCGAATAACCTGAAAACCAAAACCACCGATTCACACAAGTCTTAATACATCATACGGAGCTACTCATGCCCTCAAACTACCGAGCGAAGTGCAAATGCTCGAAACGACCGGTCGGGTCATTACAGTCAAAAAAATTCACTTAAAAGCATGGAAAGAGCCTAGATAATCTAAACCGGTCAAATACCACATATAGCCTGTGTACCCACTCGTCACCTTGCATGCACGGCTTTCACGTAACACAACTAGCACAATCACCTCGAATCCTATGGGGTAGTTTCCCCCACACAAAGTTAGGCAAGACACTTACCTCAATTCGGCCAAATCAATACTCAAATTAGCTTTTCCTTTACCAATTCACCTCCGCTCGGCTCAATCAAGCCAAAGACGACTTAAATATATCAAACAATGCAAGATAAAACAATTTCAATTAACAAAGCTACGATCTTTATACAATTTCTAAAAAGTCAACAAAAGTCAACCTCGGGTCCAAGGGTAGGTCTTGAATACCCATAGCCCCACGAGTCCACATACGTGTTTTGTTTTCAAATCCGAGTCCAATTCGACTATCATATCCTAAATTTTCATTTTTCAAAACTTTGACAAAATCCCCAAATTTTTCCTTTAGATTCTCATGAATTTGACGTTAAATCTAATGTATAATCACGAAATATAATTGAATATTGATTAGAGTCACTTACCCAATGGTTTGGTCTGAAAATCCTTCCACAAAATCGCCTCCCATCGAGACTAGAGTTCAAAACATGGTAAAAATGAAACTAAGTCCCGAAATGAAAGTCTTAATACCAGCCTCAGATGTCGCATTTGCGACATCCGGATTGCAAATCCGATGGTCGCAAATGCGACAAAAGCGTCGCAAAAGCGAAGGCTGACCAGCTCTGTCAAAGTCGCAAATGCGACACAAGACTCGCAAAAGCGAGCTCAAAGTCTTTGCAAAAGCAACAGTTTGTGTCGCAAATGCGGATGCTGCCTAATCGCAAAAGCGATGAAATTGTTCACAAATGCGAACTCCCCTGCCCCAGCCCATCGTCGCAAAAGCGAGAATGATCTCGCAAATGCGTACATCGCAAATGCAAGAACAGAGACACCAGCAAAGCTGAACCTTCTTCCAAACACTCTGAAACGCGTCTGAAACCCATCCGAGCCCTCGGGGCTCTAAACCAAACATCCACACCAGTCAAAAAATATAACACGAACTCGCTCGCGTGATCGAAACACCAAAATAACCTCTAGAATCACGAATCGGACGCCAAAACACATGAAAATCACAATGAACTTCAAGAACTTCTAGAATCGCAACCAAGCATCCGAACCGTATCAAATCAACTCCAAATGACACCAAATTTTGCAGGCAAGTTCCATATGACGAATCAGACCTATTCTAAGCCCCGAAATCAAAATCTGAACCCGATAGCCTTAAAGTCAAACTATGGTCAAACTTAGAAAAATTCTAAATCTTTATATTGCCAACTTCTGCCAAATGATGCTGAATCCTTTTAGAAACATCCAAATGCAAATTCGGGCATACGCCCAAGTCCATTATCACCATTCGGACCTACCGAAACCATCGAAACTCCGATCCGAGGTCAATTACTCAAAAGTCAAACCTTGGTCGATTCTTTCAATTTCGAGCTTCTCGAATGAGAGTCACTCCTTAAAATCATTTCCGAACCACTCAAAAACATGAGCCGATGATGCACGCAAGTCATAATATACCATGTGAAGCTACTCATGACTTCAGACTGCCGAACCGGACGCAATTGCTCAAAACGACCAGTCGGATCGTTACATTCATCCAACATAAACAAAAACTAGTAGATAATGATTTCTTCCTATTTGCTTAAGCCTTGATTGGATTGGGGACCGTTGCAACAATAGCCTTTAAAACTAGTGTTTGCCTTCATCAGAGAGCGAAGTATATATCACTCCAGTTTCTGCTGCTGCCCCACCATATGGAAATCCTCGCCTTACTAAGCCATTTGGCAGAAACGTTCAACTATTGAAGACAGTTTACTCAAAATATTACTCCAATAAAAACCAATAAAAAAGTGTGTACTTAAAAGATCACAAAATTGCATTAATGGATAGTATTACAGACAAACCTTTTGATTTGGTATTACATGAGAGAGATCTAGAAATGTAACCTCGATATAGTATGTGGAACATTATCCACAAAATGAAACAAGATACATGAATTAATGATAATCAAGTTCATCAGCTATATGTACAAGCAATTGTGATTAATAATATTTTCTCTAGTTATACCAATTACTATATGTTTACTTTGAAGTACTTTTCCATAATCAATTCATAATGAGGAAAAGAACTAATACTAGCTAGCTATTTAGGGGGAGCAGCTTGGTTCTTATTACCAGCTAAAGAAAGGATTGAATTGGCAAGTTTATTGATAGAATCAACAAGCCCATTGATGCCTTGTCTATTGATCTCAGCTTTTGATTCCTCAATTTGCAGCCTTCTCTCATGCAAACATAAGAGTTCTCTGTGCCTTCTCTCCTCTCTCTCTTCAGAAGCTTGAATTGTCTCTGCTATAATAGCAGCACTTTTGAAGATAGCAGAGCCAACTTCTTGCAAGTTGTTTATGTTGTTATTACCACTACTTGTTCCTTCTCCTTCACCCTTTCTTCTTCTCTTGGCTGGTGAATCTGAATGCTCACTTCTATCAGGATCTGAGCTATCACACATCTCCAAAACATAAACACATGTAAACCAAAGACTATCAACACTAATTTGATTTGAGTTTAACTTTGATACACTGAAAATATAAAGAATATGTACATTATCAAATCAATTAAAAACCTATTACATATAATATTAGAGTTTTAAGTTTTATGCACGTGAAAAAATATTTACACAATCTTAGATCACTTAAAAGGTAATTGCAGGTAATTAGTAACCTAAAACAAATGGTAAATAACCAGCTATAACACAATAAACTACACATGATGGTGCAAAATTTGATACATTATCAATATATGAAACTTAAATTTCATAAAATTATGTAACAAGCATGATTTGATAACCTACAAATTGTGATGAGAACCGTGCTGTATCAAGTAAAATTAGATTGGTGTAAGAATCTTTATTTCTTTCTGATACATAATTTAAATCGATTAATTAGATATTAGGTGACCACTAATCTTGAGTGGTTAAAACAGTAAAACAGTCAACTTATTCCTAGGAAGATGTGTGAGATTGAAATAAATGCAAGCAAAATGTCTAGTTCCCAACCTCATCCAAGAGGCCAAGAGACATAAATACAAAGAGAAGAAAAGAGTGGAGAGAGAGAGAGAGAGAGAGAGAGAGAGAGAGAGAAGAGAAATTAATTAGAAAAAAGGGAACTGAATGCACAAAGAAGAAAGACAATCAAGATTAATGATTTTTGCAGGCTGTGGAGAACAACAGCACTAGGATCAGTTGGTGAATCTTAAAAGTTCAAGGGCAAAGCTAGAGAACAACAAACTTTAATTAGCTTAAATACACCTAAAACAAAGAGTTTATGTCTCTGGATTGTACAAAATTTATTGCTCTATAGTGTAGTCTAAAAACGATTATTTCATGTAGGAAGAAAGAAAAAAAAGTTATGGTACATATTAAATGTTCTAAAAAGCAAGATTCAAAATGCAACACCAATGGGGCAAAAAGCTTATCTTTCAGAAGATATCAAGCAATCATAGTTTACCAATATAGACATTATTTATATCCAAGTAGGGTTTGAATGCTACTAGATGCGACTAAGATTGTCTATTCAATCTTTTTATGAAAAAGTTTTGAGTTTTATGCAATGGTAAAAGTAGCTACAAAAATAATGTCCCTTAATTATAATGCAACAATTACAAATAAATCTCTATGCAAAACATTAACTAGTAGCCTGATAATATAACTAACCTTCATTCACATATTAAGGTAAATTGATAGCGTCAAAAAAATCGTTCAAATATCAGAGGATACAACTAATAATTTAATGGAAATTTAAAGTGGGAAAAGAGTACCTACTGCGGGTAAAGGTTGAGTGTAAGGAAGACTAGGTGGCTGAGCTGATTGTTGTGCTACTACTGCTGGTGGTGACAATGTTGGTGGTGGTGGTGGAAGTGGCAAAGCTGCAATTTGAGCTTGAAAAGATTGTTGTTGCAATGTGGGAGACGAAGAATTAGTCAAACTTGTGCTTGGATTTAAAGAAACAGCAGCAGCAGCAGCAGAAGTACCACCACCACCCACTAGCAATTTTTGAGTACATTTTCTGTCCACAACTTGAACCAGTGCCTCATAAATCTCAGGCAACATATTAGTTGGCAAATTCTTCTCTTTCCTTTCACTCCTCTCAATCTTCCAATATGACTTGATAATTATTTCTTGATTATTATTACCATCATCTCCTTTCTCAGCCACTCTTCTTTCATATTCCCTCACTTTCTTGAAATCCCTCATGAGATTATCCCACTTGTCATTGCACTGATTTTGGCTCCTCAAACACCCCATTTTCCAACAATAATCCTCCACCCATTTCCACCTTAGTTCTCCTGGTTTATTTCCCCTAATTTCAGTACTAGTACCATCCCCTTGCCTTTTCATTCTCCTTTCATCATCCATCTTCTTTGCTTCTATTAAAACCATAGTTTCTTCGACTGTCCAATTCCCTTTTCTGTAGTCCCTCAACATGTTACTTCCTCCACTTTGATTAGCCACCACCCTCTCCATGCAAAACAGCTAGAAAAGAAATCAACTTTAGGGAAAAGGAATAAAGGGTGTTCTTTTTTCNTAATTACATGGTGTTTAAAGGTTTAATTCATGTGGCTGGTTTTGAAGTTTGCAAATGGAAATGATGAGAATGGAGTATTAAAAGGGAACTGGCAGCTGCAGTAATATAATCACCATATCTTTTCTTCTAACTTTTTCTTGAAAATTAGCTGCCTTTATTGAGAGCTTTTCACTTTGAAATATGTAGCATGGCACTCTCCTAGCTAAATCCCCTTAACATTTTCAAAAGATCTTGAAAAGTAAAAGTTCAGATCTAAAACTACTGACGCCGACCACTATATACCTCCGCAAAGTTGTGTAGAACCAAATGGAAAAATAGATTAGGGAGAGGGGTTTATGTTGTAGGGATAATTTTGGGGTTTGAAGCTAAGCAAGAAACAATTGATTCTCCTGTTTCATTACTTTTGTCGTTTCAATTTATGGGATGTTAGTTTGGCTAAAAACAAAATTTTAGACAAAGTAAAAATCTAAGACAATCATAAAATATTTGCGTGACTGTTAATTATTTCATTAAGAATTAAGTAAAAATTTAAAATGAAATTATTTTTATATATAAAAAATGTCATTTAAAAAAAGACTATCAATAAGAAAGGGCCAAACAACTCCATTCAAACTGACACATTTACAAGCCCAAAAAGTTTTCTTGCAGAGGTGAGTAGGGTGAAGTGAGATGGGACTCGAAAGGTAGAGTGCTTAATAGTCATTTGTTGCATGGACAACAGAATTTAATGAGCATAATCACACACGTGGGCTAAGCCAACAGTCATCATAACACCAAGATTTGGAGAGGGCTATAGTTTATATTTATAGTCACTCCCTTTCAATTTAGATTAGGCAGTTTGACTCGGCATGAAATTTAAAAAAAAAAAAAAAAAAAATTAGGTCTTAAAAACTTAAGGGATAAAAGCTTTATGGGTCATAATATTTGTATGGTTATAAAAGATTCTCATTAAGGATAAAATAAGTAAAATAAAGAATTTAAAGTTAAATTATTTCTAAATTTAAAAATATATCATTTATCTTGAAATAGACTACAAAAAATACATCATCTAATTTGAAATAGAGGGAGTAGGAGATTTTCTTAAGTGGTTTCTGTTTGAGTAATTGAGATAATATTTTTCAAAAACTAAACTTTTTTTTACAAAAAGGTTTTTCTTTTAAATCTTTTTTGCAAGAAGAAAGCAAATGAAAGTTGTTTTTTTAAAGTTAAATAATGTGTTTGACCATAATAAAAAATGTCTATCGGAGACAAAAATAATCACAGTTACAGTTTTTGTCACGAAATAATTAAATAAGCTCCACGTTAACTAGATTTTCATTATAAAAAGATATGTTGAACGGTGCAAATAAACTTTATCAATTTAGGGCAAATAAACTTAGTAACAACAATATTCAGTTATATGTAAATGAAAAACAGAAGTTAAATCCCTTTTTAGGATGGGCCAAAAATTATAGTAAGATCGTAAAATTTGACTTCCTTGGAAAAGCCGAACCAAATAAAGCACAAACATAAAAACCATGCAGCTAAAATTAAAGTACCGTAGGGCTCCGTGGGGTGATGATAGACTATAATTACGTATTTTAGTCATTTATTAGATTCTAGTTCACTGTACTTTATTTATGTTGGAGTTTTAATTGATAGTATTTTGCACTTATTATGTGTTTTATGCCTTGTATGAGTGATTCCGAGCTATATAGATGATATGGAATGATTTCGAGTGATTTGAAATTTTGAATTCTGAGTAAAAGCCCAAACATTAAGCCGAGATCGTGTTCGGGGGTTGAGGATCAAGTTTGGACGTCAAAAATCGAAGTTTGGTCCGTACTCTGAGAATTCCCCACTGTCGCGGCGTATGAGGCGGCGCGTGGGGCGTCGCCCTTGTGCAATCCTCTGCTGTCTGTTAGAAATTAGCTCTCTGGATTTCCCTACTAATGCCCCGCATGGCACGTCGCCCCATACGGCGCGTCTGTGCAATTTTACAGAGTAAATATCCTAATTCAGATATTCGACCTAAGGAGGCTGAGGAGGAGTTGGAAAAATACGAGCACAAGGATTTCATCATTTCTTCCTCACTCAAGATATGAGCTTGGATTGAATTTATGTTTTCCTACACTTTAACTTTATTTGTGATGAATTGTTCCAATCTATGGAGTTGTTCACTTTGGGGTTTGATAGATTTGGTGTATTGATGATTATTTGTGGATTATAACTCTAGTTTTATGTATTGAAGTGTTTTTGGATGATTTAATCGTTGTATCTATATTCACTTGTTCATGTAATCGAGAGAGGCATAACTTGTGATATCTTTGCATTATATTGTTGGTTAAGTTCATTAATTCTTCTTAGTAATCGAAAAAGGCTAGTTGAATCATTGATTAAACCTAGTTAGGAGGATAATCGAGAGAGGTTCTCTAAAAGACCAATCCACTACGCATTCTTGCATATCTTCACGTGCTTAAATTAGTTCATCTTGTGAGGTTAAAACTTAATCGAGAAAGGAGTTTTTGTTGAACGTTTGAACTAATAATTGAGTGAATTCAAGAGTCTCACTTAAACATTAGAATTGAATTATCTAGAGTTAGATCCCAAACAATTATCTTGCACCTATCCTATCAATCCCAACTTTCTCCCATTGATAACTTCCTTGCTTACCTTTGTTGTGATTGTCATTAGTCAATAACTTTAGATTCTTAGTTAATTGTAGTTAAAAATCATAGAAATCTCAATTGTTGATCATCTTACATAGCAATCAAGCTAGAAACTACAAGAATACTGTTTAAATCCAATCCCCGTGGATACGATATTATACTATACTATATTTGACTAGCGATCATAATTTAAGTGTGTTCGAGCTCGTCAAATTTTGGCTTCGTTACCAGGGATTGACAATCAATAGTGTTTGAAATAGTTTGTAGAGCTAATTCAGGAATTTTTCTTTTTATTTTATTTTATTTTTCTTTTTTATGGTTGGTGGTCCTTGAATGTGCGCATGTTACAGGTTAAGATTGGTGCATGACTCGAACTTCTGCGAAGGAAGTGATACCATACGAGCCAGAGATAGAAAAACAACAGCGACAGCTGAGGAAGGAAATAAATCTAACCGAGACATCAGAAAAGGTTGGGCAATCCTCAACCAAAGAACTTATTGCTGGAAACGGTGATGATAATGTATATTTGGTTGCAAGAGAGGCATCCCAACAACGGGAAAAAACTGTACAGGATGTGATAACAACACGATAGGGGTCCAAGAATTACTAAAGAAAATCAAGAAACGTGCGGAAGCTAAAAGAAAATAATGAAACAAAAAACAACGGAAAATTAAAGATAGATTGAATTCAAGAAAGAGTTTCTTGAATTCAAGAAGTCTATTCTTGAAGTTTAATCCTAACAACAACAATTAGCTAACAAAGAACTAATCGCCTTTGGTAGAGAATTAAAAACAAGAGATAGATTGTGAAACCCGACCCTTTAGAATAACAAGAACAATAATAAGCCTATACTTATCACCTTTCTCGAATACCTAGAAGTGATCTAAGATTTCGAAAGAGTTTAATCTTGCCACCTTAAGTTGAGTCTTGAAGGTTGAAGAATAAATCCAAGAGTAGCCACACACAAGAGTGCAAGAAAAATCTCATAATTTTTATTGATAATAGTTTATATTAATCTTTTATCTAAAAACAAAGAATACACCCCTTTATATAGATAGGGGGTCACGAAATTCCTACCTAAAAATAAGAAAATAAAGTCCTAAACTACTTTGGACAACAAGTCCAAATACCTTAGGAAAAGAAAAAACACTAGGAAACAAAAACCAAGTCAATCTTGAAAAGTAACTCTAACAATCTTAGGAAAAGGAAAATATAACCTTAACTACCTGAGAAAGGAATAAATCTAGTACCAAAATATATGGAAATAAGTTAAAACCAATCTTGGATAGAATCTTGAAAGTCGCAAACCAATCATGGATAGGATCTTGGAAATCTTGAAGGCAACTTGCAAGCAACTTGGCACCAACTTGTACCCAACTTCTATCACGCCTATTGAACCTTTCTTGGACAGAAAGTAAGTCCTTTTTTCTCTCTTGGGATGTCAACATGCACTCCCTTACTCCTCTCATTCTTTTCTCTCTCATATTTTCTCATATTCTCTTTAACAGTCTTTTCATCTTCATAAATTTGTGAGGGAGTCAAAGGTCCAAGAATAAGTTTCTTCTCGTTAACCTCAAAAGGGTATCTATTTTTTACCATGTTATATGAAGCTCTTCTATAGGTATACCATGGCTTTCCCAACAAGATATGATAATTATTCATGGGAATCACATCACACCAGATCGCATTCTCATACCTTCCAATAGAGAATAGTAATAACACTCTTTTATCTACCTTTACTCCTCTCAACATGTAAGGTTCAATATACTCAACACAAGGCAAGTTCAATTTTTCAACCATATAAGTGCTAATTGAGTTATATCCAAACTCTTTGTCAATTCTAAGAGCACAAATCGTAGACATCACTTTAGCTCTTGTTTGAAAAATAATTTTACCTTTGTCTTCCTTCCATTCGGTATATTGTAAGTTCGACTTTTCAAGTTGTTGAGTCATAGCTCGCCTCCTTTCACTATAACTACCTATTTGAAACATCTTGAACAAAGATTAGAAGAATTATGTATCTCTCAAATTTGGCTTTTTCCTCTAATGTTCTCGCCTCTCTTGCCTTTTTTCACTCAAAGCAACTCTTGGTCGTTAATCTTTAGATTTATTAATAAACCTTACTAGTCACAACCCTTAGTGATAAGAATGTGGAGTTAGAAAAAGAAAAGGAAAGTGAAGGACCAAACCTTGGAAGAATAGGAATTGGTTATGTAGAAAAAAAAAGGAAAGAATTTAGGAAACCCAAAACCCACAAGAATAAGGAAAGAACTTACCTTAATCTTCAAGAACTAGGATCCCCTCTTCTTGTTTCCTTTCTTGACTTGGAAACCAAATAACACTTG